AAAAATATGGCAGCGCACATTTGCATGTTCTAGCAGAAGATTCATTCTCATTTTGCACGTTTGGTGAGTAGTGGAGCCAGCCCCATTTATGCCTCAATCTCTGGGGTACGAGGGAAGTGGGGGAAAAGTGCAAGCTGTGTTATACTGCCAGTCCAGGATGTCATACTGCCACTACCATCTTCACCTGAATACATCACCTGGCCATGATAGCTGTATTTGGGGCACCTTTCAGTCTAGATACAGCAATAATGACCAGGCATTCTATTTAGGTGAAGACGGGAGGACAGCCCTGGATGTATCAGACTATGCTTATGCGCACTACTCTGGGAGCATGCCCTTTTTCTTCTTCTTCTTCTTTTTTTTTTTTTTTCCTTTTTTTCCTGGAATTAGTATTCGGGACATCCGTTACAGAAGGAAGATTAGCATGGCCCCTGCGCAAGGATGACACACATAAATCGAGAAATGGTCCAAATTATTTATAAAAAAAAAAAACTTGAAAAAACTTATTTTAGCCGGCACTGGTAGTATGCCTATGCCCTGTAATGGAATGCTGAGCTGAGTTATCTCTGCGGTATGAGGGAAGTGGGAAAAAGGGGCACAGTGTGTTGTACATGCACACCATCTCCACTTTGTTTTCTTCTTTTTCTTTCTTCCTTTTTTTGGGAATAATTTGCAAAACACCCCCCTAAGAGATGTGGGTAGAGCGGAATGCCCCTCTGACAAAAGAATATATTTTGTGAAGTACCCCTGGCGTCGGTTGGACCCCCATCTTTGCAATATACCCCTGCCGGGCACCGTCCAACTTTGCGAAATGCCCTTGGTTCTTGCCAGCCTTTCCTAGGCCCTATTGCAAAAAAAGGCCAAGGCCCCAAATGGGGAGGTCCAGATTGCAAAGTTGCACACCCGCCTGACAGGGGCACAACACAAAGATTTCGGCCCAAAAGGGCATTCCGCTCTACCTACATCTTTCAGGGGCATTTTGGAATATATCACAACTTACGAGGGTATTTTGCAAATTATCCCTTTTTTCTTTTGTGTGTATGTGAAACCACCCGTCCTTTTCTTTGGCCACAATCCAAAAGCATGTCCTCCTGGCAGAGTTTTTTTTTCCCCTCCTTTTTCCCTGGTATGTCCTGGATCTTCTGTCTTGCGATGTGAATGTAGGGACATGGGCACCCAGATGATCTGGATGTCAAGGGAAAAAAAAAAAAAAGGAAAAAGCCTAAAAAGGCATGCCGTCCGTGGCATGCAAGATCAAGGTGAAGACACCCCCACTAAGCCCACTGTCTCCCAAAAGCACCCCCAGGCGCCCTTGCCATGGGGAACGAGTCCCCCTCGGCATCACATATTATGTAGGGGTTGTCAAAAAGAAATTGGTGAAAGACCCTCATCCGCGCAACCCATGGGTTTCCTGATGCTCTGCACCGATTGGTAATGTCCAATCCGGGAATTGAACACACAACCAATGGCTTGTCAGGCAAAAAGAAACACAGTTTGTTTGGCCTGCTCTGCTTTCGTTATGGAAGAGGGTATGGATTTGCACGGAACCCCTGGGTTCCGCTTATGACGGTCTTTAACCAATTTCTTTTTGACAACCCTTATGTATGCGACGAGGAGGGGGGGACTCGTTCCCATCGCAAGGCCACCAGGGTGCTTTTGGGAGACAGTGGGCCGAGTGGGGGTGTGTCTTCCGGGACCACCACTGCTCCTGAGGCTATTTTGCCAAACCTAGGTGCTCACCCATAGCCCCCTGCTGATTATGAGGCCATATGTGTACCCTGAGGGGCTTTAAACCGCCAGTACACGGCCCCAGCCTTGCTGAAAAAGAAACTCGTCACCTACAAAAAATTTGGACGCTCGGCCTACCGGACCACAATGGCTGGCGGCGCCAGCCAGCCAAACAAGGAAAACAAGTGCGCCGCTGGCGGTTCGAAAAAGCTTGGCGCGCAGTAATCGCCTCCTCCAGGCCCGAGTGTACTGCCGGTGGTCTAAGCCCCAGTCTCCACAGCTTGCCATTTCTAGAAGGTGGCAAGTCCCAGTCTCCACAGCAGTGTGTCTTCTGGAGTGTGTGGTTTTCTGGCTGTGATAAACCTTTCTTTGGTCCGTAATTGGGGTTCCTGGGTTATGATGGGGGGGGGTCTGGCTGTTTGCATTGGGATTTGCTGGGGTTATGATGGGTGGGGTTTTCTGGCTGTTTTCATTGGGGTCTCCTGGGTTATGATGGGGATTTCTGGTTGTTTGCATTGGGGTTTGCGGGGGTTATGCTGGACCGAAGAAAGGTTCGTTATAACAGTGGTTGGTGGTCCCCACCCCTGCGGGGGTTATGATGGGGTTGTGAACTGACAGTCTTTAGAGTTTTCCGTCTGGTGAGGGCGAGTGAAAACCCCGCTTTGATTTGCGTTTCATGTACCCTTGATGGCAGTGGCTGGTGGTCCCCACCCCTCAGGAGGAGGGGTATCAGGTGTCCGGTAGTCGTCGATGCATAAATAACCACAACTGGGGTTAAACTACCAGTACATCCGAACCTCTGTTTGCCGAGGTGGATCTCTGCTGTTGCGCCACCAAGCTTTGCTGAAACGGCAGTGCAGCGCTTTCCCCGCCGCCCCCCCTTTTTTTTTCGGTCGGCGCTGCGAGCCATTTTGTGTTTGTGACTTGGTTGCGCTTTCTTCACTTACTGCGCATGATTTGTGATTTGCCTGGGTCGATTTCTACGAGCCACACTCTCCATTAGTCACCCCAACTTGTGTAAGGGACGCTGGGGAAGGTTGCCAGCATTCATGTAAATAGACTTTCATAAAGACAACCAGCTCCTTCAGGGAAAGGGAAAGAAGGAAAAAGTTATGGGTCTTTATAAAATTGTTTTTTTTTTTTTTTTTTGGGGGGGGGGGGGGGGGGGGGGGGGGGGGGGGGGGGGGGGGGGGGGGGGNGGGGGGGAGGGTTAATCTGGACCATTTCTCAATTTATGTGTGTCATCCTTGAAAGCGCAGGGGCCATGCTAATATTCATTCTCTGTTACAGTATCGTTCCAACTTTTAACGGATGTCCCGAAGGACAACACTATATAAATTATTAAATTCTTATATTGCTTAATGTATTTTTTCAATTTTCTCAAAAACAATTTCTGGAAACTTTTCCACAGGTTTGCCTGTTCTGTTGTTTTAAATTCTAATGTGTGTGCAATGTGAATGTCCATTGCAGTTCTGTGAGCTTTTTCTGGGGCTTGCTTTATTTATTTATTTAAATTATTTTTGCATTTCCTGATTTATGTGTGTTGTACTGACCCGCCGAAACACAGACTGAGAAGTTAGAACACGGTTGATTTCTGGGATTTGCCGCTGGAATGGATGCCTTGCTGAGATTCCCGCATTCTGCTGTGATTTCTAAGTCTGTACGCGTGTGTGTGTGTGTGCCTGTCCGAGTGCTTGTCGGTTGAGTGTGTGTGTGTGACCCGCAAGGGTACTTGTTGGTTGAAAGGCCCCACAGGGCCAGTTCTTACCTGTGGCCGTGGCTTTGAGGGTTGCAGCAGGCAAAACACTCGAGTAGCGGGGGTAGTCCCGCGACACGTAGAGCAGCGGGAAAAACACTCAAGTAGCAGGTGTACCACTCAAGTAGTGGTAGAAGTGTCGGGTACTGGAGGCTGAGCAGAAGAAGACAAAAGTTGGCATTTTAAGAGACCCAGTAGCGGTAGGTTAGAGGTAGGCCGGTACGAGGCCAAGTAGCCTGAGACTGGGGCCTGTCCGGACGATAGCAGAGCCTGCAATGATGTTTCCCTCCGAAAGGGAGGAGGCACCGGTTGCCGTTCGGCCGCTCGGCCTAGGAAGTCAGCGCCCAAGAGGCCAGTAGGCCGACATATCTTCAGGAGGAGCAAGAAGCTCCTCCTCATTTGCGGTATGCAAGGATTGGCGACGTGCTGCTGGAGCCACGCGCTGGACTTGGGAAGCGCTGCCTGGAGGAGAAGAGCAGCTGGGCGCTCAGCCTGGCTATGGCGAGCAGCCCAGCCTGAGGAGGAGGAGGAAGAAGGGGGCGAAGGAGGAGAGTGGCGAGGTACCTACCTGGTGGCTATGGTGGACACCATCTTCATCACCTTGTTGGGCGCTGCATCTGGAAGGCCCCAGTTGGGGTAGTGCCACACCAAGGAAGCTCGGGCCAGAGTCAGGCTCTGCTTTGCGTTGTCCTTTCCACAGGAGGGCAGAGCCCTCAGTCGTCCGCCATAGCCTAGGCATGTGAGAGGAGGAAGAAGGCGGGAAGCCATAGCTATGGTGGACCTATGGTTGTGTCAGCAGTAATAGGGAACTTCGGATATTGATTCTGGTTCATCCACTCATTGTTATTATTATTATTATTATTATTATTATTATTATTATTATTATTATTATTATTATTTTTCAATAGGATTGGCGAAGTGGAGGAGGAGGAGGAAGGTGGAGAGAGAGAAGGGGGCTTTGTCATTGGTCTAACTGGTGTACATCTTCTTCTTTCTCTCTTCTTCTTGTACTTCTTCTTTCTCTCTTCTTTGGTCTCTATCTCTTTGCAAGTGCTTTCATTTCTTTCACAATTGGGTGGCATTGTCTTTCATTGTGAATTTGGACTTTGGGAATGACCAGGATCGTAACCGTGTCATCCTTCCGCAGGGGCCATGCTAATATTTTCTGTGTATCGTTCCAATTTTAATGGATGTCCCCAAGTATGCGGGCGCTTGCTTTACAGAGCGCCTTCTACATACCTACACACTTCTTCTTATTATTATAATTTATAACTCTTTTATAATTTGTAATATATTAGAAATTTATTAAATTCTTAATCAAATTAAATCAATGTATTTTGTTGCTTTTCTCAAGTGTTTCGTTGTCTGTTCATTTCAGTTTCTTTGAGCTTTTTTTTTCTGCGGCTTGGTCTTGATGTCAGTTTCCAACTTCCCACTGACGGAAATGATGAACGTATTTTGTTCTCAATGAACGTATTTTTTTTTCTGCGGCTTTTTTGTTCTCTGTTCATTGCAGTTCCTGTGAGAATTGCAGTCAGATTCATCCAGCTCTGGTCGTAATTGCAGGTAGATACATCCAGGAAAGCCCTAGTGTGCAAATGGCGGCCTGAGATGAACTTTCCTGTCAGTTGATTGCGCGACACGCTGAGGGACAGGGACAGGGACTACTTCCTTCTTCTCCCACGGAACACAACGCCCCAGCGTCGAGGCTGCACTTGGACTCGAACAGGGTTTGTATACATTTTCTTTCATGATGACACAATGCCCCAGCGTCCTGACTGCATTTGGACTGGAACAGGGTTTGTATACACTTTTTTCCATGATGATGGAGTGGTGTGTTTGGGCTGTGAAGAGGACAAGAGATAGACTGTTGCATTGCGAGGAGGAGGCTGGTACGAGTGCGCATCTGGAAGTAAGTGGTGGTTGGGGAAGGAAGACAGCATCTGGGTTAGGAAGGAGGGGTGCGGATTAGACGGCACGGGCAGGTGTAGATGACATGATCCGTCGATTATCTGTTTTATTCGTATTTTAATACTTTATCAATTTAAGACTTTTAAGTTTTAAGTAATATAAAAGTTGTAATTTGTTTTGAAAAAAAGGTAGTCATTGTAGCTACTTCACAAAATCTGCTATTGGTTGTAAGTCAAAAAAAAAAAAAAAAAAAAAAGAACTACTCTAGGTCTCAAACAGACGCTGAGTAGTTACGGGGAACTTATGGGTGTGCCTGGCAGTGCGGATTGCGAAGGAGACACAAGCCAGGTAGGCAGGCAGACGTTTCCGCGAGTGCCTGTGGATGGATGTTGGGAAAAAAGCAGGGTGGTTTTGTGTGGGAGTGGCTGTGAAGAAGAGACAGCATGGCATGTGGCCGTTGTTTAAAAAAAAAAAAAAAAAAAAAAGAATCACAAAGAGGTGGCTAAGAGAAGTCAGACAGGGTGGAGATGCAATTCAAAAAAAAAAAAAAAAAAAAAAAAAAAAGCAAGGAGACGTGTGGTCCGTCTCCGACCGGTGTTGCCAGTGAAGAAGAAGAGGGTATGTGCACAATGCAGAGGCAGTTAGAGGAAGACAGACATAGCATGCAAGTGATGAGGAAGAGGTGGTTGTGGGTGGGTGTGTCTTCTGGGAGTGGTTGTGTGTGTGTGTGTGTGTGTGTGTGTGTGTGTGTGTGTGTGTGTGTGTGCTTGATGGTCTGCGTGCCTGTCTGAGTGCTGGGCGGAGTGTGTGTGTGTGTGACACTTGCAACCAACGAGGCGCTCTCGTATGTACTCAAGATTCTGTATCTAGCTGCTTTTACGTCCAAAGAGTCGTTGCGGTTTTTGCTTCTTTTTTTGTTTTCGTACAGCCGTGTGTGCTGAGGGCTGTAACGCCCATTGGGAGGGCGTATTCGCACTTGTGCCCAATGTTCTGTATCCAGCTGCTTTCACGTCCAAAGAGTTGTTGCTTTCTTTCCTTTTTTT